TCATGCATTATTAGTCCCTGCTTAATATACATATATATATGTACGATTATACATAGTATGTCCTATATCATGCATTATTAGTCCCTGCTTAATATACATATATATATATGTACGATTATACATAGTATGTCCTATATCATGCATTATTAGTCCCTGCTTAATATACATATATATATGTACGATTATACATAGTATGTCCTATATCATGCATTATTATCCCTGCTTAATATACATATATATATATATACGATTATACATATATATGTCCTATATCATGCATTATTAGTCCCTGCTTATATATATATATATATATGTCCTATATCATGCATTATTAGTCCCTGCTTAATATACATATATATATACGATATATACATAGTATGTCCTATATCATGCATTATTAGTCCCTGCTTTATATACATATATATATGTACGATTATACATAGTATGTCCTATATCATGCATTATTATCCTGCATTATATATATATATTTATACATATATGTATGTCCTATATCATGCATTATTGGTATTTACCTTTACCTCATATATGAATGTACGATTATAGTATGTCCTATATCATGCATTATTGGTATTTTTACCTCATATATGAATGTACGATTAAACATAGAATGATCTATGTCATGCATTATTGGTATTTACCTCATATATGAATGTACGATTAAACATAGAATGATCTATGTCATGCACTTGAGGTCTTAAGATATTTGAATGTAATACTTGAGATGTGTTATAACCTGAATTGTACAGTTAAGCATGGATGATCTATATCATGCATTATTAGTATTTACCTCATATATGAATGTACGATTATATTATATGTCCTATATCATGCATTATTGGTATTTACCTCATATATGAATGTACGATTATTAAATAGAAATGATCTATGTCATGCATTATTGGTATTTACCTCATATATGAATGTACGATTAAACATAGAATGATCTATGTCATGCACTTGAGGTCTTAAGATATTTGAAGGTCTTAAGATATTTGAATGTAATACTTGTGTGTGTATAACCGAATTGTACAGTTAAGCATGGATGATCTATATCATGCATTATTGGTATTTACCTCATATATGAATGTACGATTAAACATAGAATGATCTATGTCATGCATTATTGGTATTTACCTCATATATGAATGTACGATTAAACATAGAATGATCTATGTCATGCATTATTGGTATTTACCTCATATATGAATGTACGATTAAACATAGAATGATCTATGTCATGCACTTGAGGTCTTAAGGTATTTGAATGTAATACTTGAGATGTGTTATAACCTGAATTGTACAGTTAAGCATGGATGATCTATATCATGCATTATTGGTATTTACCTCATATATGATGTACGATTAAACATAGAATGATCTATGTCATGCACTTGATCTTAGGTCTTAAGGTATTTGAATGTAATACTTGAGGTGTGTTATAACCTGAATTGTGCGATTGGGCATAGAGTGAGAGTGATTACATCCTGATGGTCTTGATGTAGTTGTGTGGGACTATAGACGAGTGATGTCCGCATGGGTGGCGATGCCGTGGTTACTGCGTGGGTTTAGTAGCGTGAGTTTGCCCCTGTAAAGTACAGCTTGAAAACTGAATTTCGAGCTGGTCGAGGGGTTTTGCTTAGTAGGGTGTTTTCTAGTAGGCCGAGCAGCAGTGGGAAGGCGACAATAATAGAGGTAAAGTAGATTATTGAGGCGATTTGACCAATTATAACAAATGGGGCTTCTACTGGTTGGCCTCCGATTCATGTAAGAACCAGGGTGTCTGCGACCAGGGCTCAGAATAGTACTTTTGTGAGTGGGCGGAACATTAGTGACCGGGTTTTGGAGGTATGGGTGATTGGGAGAAGAAGTAGGACCGCAATGGAGAAAAGCAAGGCTAGTACTCCGCCTAGTTTATTGGGGATTGAGCGGAGGATAGCATAGGCGAATAGGAAGTATCACTCCGGCTTGATATGGGGGGGTTACGAGGGGATTAGCAGGGATAAAGTTGTCTGGGTCTCCTAGAAGGTTGGGGGCCAGGGTTGAAAGAACTGTCAGAAAGGTAAGTGTTAAAGAGAACCCTAAGAGGTCCTTATAGGAGAAGTAGGGGTGAAAAGGGATTTTATCTAGGTTAGAGTTGAGGCCGGTAGGATTAGAAGACCCTGGCTGATGTAGGAACAGCAGGTGGACTATGCTTACGGCTGCAATAATAAAGGGCAGGATAAAGTGAAATGCAAAGAACCGTGTAAGGGTGGCATTGTCTACGGAAAATCCGCCTCAGATTCATTGGACCAAGTCTGTGCCGACGTATGGGGGGTGGCAGATAAAAGGTTAGTGATTACTGTTGCCCCTCAAAAGGATATTTGTCCTCATGGGAGCACGTAGCCTATAAAAGCGGTGGCTATAACCAGTAATAAAAGGAGAACACCAATGTTTCATGTCTCTTTATATATAGGTATGAGCTGTAGTAGATGCCTCGGCCAATGTGTAAGTAAATGCAGATAAAGAAAACCGAGGCTCCGTTAGCATGAAGGCTTCGCAGAAGTCAGCCGTTGCCTACATCTCGGGAGATGTGGGCAACGGAGGAAAATGCTAAGGCTGTGTCGGCTGTGTAGTGTAGGGATAAAAACAACCCTGTAGCGATTTGTGCAATTAAACAAAGTCCTAATAATGACCCAAAATTTCATCAGGCGGAGATGTTGGATGGAGAAGGAAGGTCGATGAAGGAATTGCTAACAATATTTAGAATGGGGTGAGTCTTACGAATTGGGGGGGCCATAAGTTTCTGTAGTTGAGCTACAACAGCAGCTTTTCAAGCTGCCGGCCTAGGTTAGAGTCCTAGCAGAAATAGATGTTGATAAGCTTTTGTTTATTAAGTGGGTTGCTAATAGTGGCTTCTAATCCGTCTCCGTATTATGCTGCTTTAGGTTTAGTGTGGGGGGCAGGGGCGGTTGTTTAGTCTTAGCAAAAGGGGGGGTGAGTTTTTTGTCTTTAGTCTTTTTTTTAATTTATTTAGGGGGCATAATGGTTGTTTTTGCTTACTGTTCGGCGTTAGTGGCTGAGCCTTACCCTAAGGCGTGGGGTAGCCGCTTATTTGTATTTATTATGGGCATTTATTGTATATTATCTTTTTTTTTGACTTTATTTCGGTGGTCTTCCTTATAGTCTGTGCTTTCTAAAATGAGGGTTGCCATGTTTTGAGTGACTGGGGGTGGGGGGGGGGGGGGGAATACTTGGTAAGGGGGGGACCAATGTTATTGCTCGGGGGATTAGCTTTATTATTATGTTTATTTGTTTGTTGTTAGAGGTGGTGCGAAGTTCTAAGCGGGGGGGGGGCTTTGCGAGCGGTTAGAAAATTGAGGTGAAAATCTGACTCGATTAAGGTGAACAAGGGGGTTTTCCCCTATTTCTAGAATTATCTAGTGTTTTTTAACTGTGTTCACATAATAAAACTAACTCAGGTTTTATTATTAAGAGTAGGGCGGGAAGGACATGAAGGGCTAATAGCAAGTGTTCTCGGATTTGATAGGGGAATAGGGTTTTAATGTGGCTGGGTAATGGGCCCCGTTGAGTAGATCATAGAATGTAAAGAGAGTAAGTCGTAGTCAATACTAGATTAACTGCAACCGTTAAAAAAAAAATTACTGGGGATCAATTAAGTAAAGAAACTATAATTTGTACTTCAGCTAAAAAGTTAGTTGTTGGGGGAAAAGCTATATTTAGTATAATGGTAAGAAGTCATCATACGCTGGCCAGGGGAAAAAAAAACAATTATTGTCCCTCGGAGTAAGATTATAGTTCGGCTATATTGTGCGTTCATAAGCAGTATTAGCTAGGCAAAATAGGGCCGAGGATGAGAGGCCGTGTGCGATTATTATAGTTATACCCCCCGAATAGCTTCAGGGGGTTGCGATTAGGGCGGCTACAATTACTAAGTTTTATGTGGCTAACAGAAGAAATTGCGATTAGAGACTTTAGGTCTGTTAAACGCAGGCATAATAGGGCGGAGGCTAGAACGCCAAATACGGCGACAAGTATAATCATAAAAGATTGGGGGGGGGCTATATTTTCCTGAAGTAGGGGGGATGTTCGTAAAATGCCATAACCCCCTAGTTTAAGTAGGGTGCCGGCTAATACTATAGAGCCTGCAATTGGGGCTTCAACATGGGCTTTAGGTAGTCATAGGTGCAGGGTATACATTGGGAGTTTAACAAGGAAAGCGGCATTGCATACGGCTCAGAAGAGCCCGGGGTAGTTGGTTGGGGTTTGTATTACGTAAGTCATTTGTGTAAGGGCAGGGGATAATGATCCTTGTACGGAGTAAAATTTTATTAGTCAAATTATTAAAGGGACAGCCCCTAATATTGTATAAAATGTTAGATAGAGCCCCGCTTCTAGGCGTCGTTCTTGAGCACCTCAGCGTGTGATAATAATAATGGTGGGGAGTAAAGAGGCCTCAAAAAAAATGAAGAATAGCATAAGGTCTGCTGATGTAAAAGCTAATAAAGTTATTAGCTGCAAGAAGAGATTGTTAATAATGTATATTCGTTGTCGATTAATAGGTTCTAGGCGTATTTTACTTTGGCTCGCCAATATAGTAAGGGGAAAAAGTCAACATGTTAAGATTATTAAAGGGCCAGAAATTTTATCGATGAAGAATATAGAGTTGTAGAAGCTAAAATTTTGAATAGAGGCTCAAGATAAAGATAGTAAAGCAATAATGAAGCCTTGACTAGTGACTGTTATTCAAAGGTGTTTACTCGGAGTTAAGAAAGCAGAGGGAAATATTGAAATTCAGGCAAGGATAATAACTAGCACTGGAGGAGACTGAGAGTTTTTTTAAATTATCGCTTCCGTGAGACCGAGATGTAGCTACTATTAAAGATAAGCCCAGCCCTGCCTCACAGGCTGACATAGTAAGTAAAATTAGGGGGGCTACAAAGGATGAATAAGTTAATTGGTTGGGCCATAAACTTAGGCCGATAAAGATAACAAGTATTATTCCTTCCAGGCATAGAAGAGAGAGTAAATGGGTGCGGTGGAAAGAAAATCCCATAAAGATAATAAAAAATATTAATACTAAGAGAATGTTCATAGGAGAGCTATGGGGTTTCACCATAATTAATTGAGCCGAAATCAATTGTCTTACTTGGACTAGCTCTGCATTCAGCTCACTCTAGGGCCCCTTGAGTTCATTCATAAGCAAAGCCGATAGTCAGTAAAATAATAATAACAGAAGCTCATGCAATAGATACGGTTGGGGTTGGCAGTTGGATGGCCCATGGGGCAGGAAGGAGCAATGCGATTTCTAGGTCAAATAGAAGGAAAAAAATTGCGACAAGAAAAAAATCGCATAGAGTATGGAAGACGGGCTGATCCTAGGGGGTCAAATCCACATTCGTACGGGGACAGCTTTTCTGTGTCAGGTGCAGTTAAAGGTAGTCAGAAAGCAATAACGACTAATAGAAAAGAAATGGTTAAAGCTACAATAGAGTATGCAAGCATTATTTTCTCTCGGGGGGTTTAACCGAGGCCGAATGATTGGAAATCATTTGTACTACTATACTAAGAAAATATGAGCCTCATCAGTAGATTGAGACGTATAAGAATAGTCAGACTACATCCACAAAATGTCAATACCATGCGGCAGCTTCAAAGCCAAAGTGATGTTTTTGTGGTGAAATGGAAGAATAGTTGTCGTGAAAAACATGTAAGCAAAAATATTGAGCCAATAATAACATGCAGGCCATGGAATCCGGTGGCAACAAAGAAAGTTGTACCGTAAATACCGTCGGCGATGGTAAAGGGGGCCTCATAGTATTCGATAGCTTGTAAGGCTGTGAAGTAGAGTCCGAGGGCAATTGTTACAGCAAGGCCTTGATAAGCCCCTTTTCTAGTTTGCATGATGCTGTGATGGGCCCATGTTACAGAAACCCCAGAGGCTAGGAGTACTGCAGTGTTAAGTAAGGGAATTTCAATTGGGTTAAAGGGCACAATTCCTGTTGGGGGTCAACATTCCCCAGTACTTGGAGTAGGGGCTAAGCTGGCATTATAGAAAGCTCAAAAAAATCCGGCAAAAAAGAATACTTCAGATGTGATAAATAAAATTATACCATACCGTAATCCTTTTTGTACGGGTTGGGTGTGGTGTCCTTGGAAGGTCCCCTCTCGGACTATGTCTCGTCATCATTGTAATATAGTCAATAATATCAAAACAAGGCCTGCGTAGAGAATTACAGTGATGTTAAAGTGGAAATCATGCGGCGAGGCCTGATGTTAATAAAAAAGCTGCTGCGGCCCCTGATAACGGTCATGGGCTAGGGTTTACTATGTGATAAGCATGTGCTTGGTGGGCCATACGTGTTTTCTTGCAAGTTAGGGTCAGTAGTAAGACAAAAACGTAGGCTTGGATTACTGCTACTGCACTGCAAACTCTAGGATAGTTAGAAGAATAAGAACAAGAAAAGTTGCTAGTGCGGCTAGATAAGAAACCGAGCTGATTGCTAATACGGCTGATGACACTAAGTGAATGAGAAGGTGTCCGGCTGTTAGATTTTTGCTGTGAGTCGTACTCCAAGGGCTAAGGGGCGGATTAATAAGCTGACTGATTCAATAATAATAAGAACAGGGATAAGTGGGGGGGGGGGGCCCCTTCTGGCAAGAGATGGGCTAGTGAATGTGAAGGTTGATTTCGAAGACCAATTAATACTGTGCTGAGTCATAAAGGTACGGCTAACCCTAAGTTTATTGATAGCTGCGTAGTTGGTGTAAATGTGTATGGTATAAGGCCTATTAAGTTTATTCCCAAGAGAAAAATTATGAGCGATACCAACAAGAGGGCCGCCTTGTAGCCTTGGGGACTTAGAGGGGAAAATTTGTTTGGTGAATACAGTAATTAATTTAGTTTGAGCGGATAGGAGGCGGTTATTAATTAAACTCCCTGTGGGGGTGGGGAATAGTAGTCATGGGGGGGTTAATATAGCTAGAATAATTAAAGGGACTCCTAATAAGGTTACGGAGGCAAACTGGCTAAAAAGATCTATTGTCATGGTCAATATCATTTAAGGGGACTAGCTTCTGTTTTTTTTTAGTTTTGGGTTTATTTATATTAAGGTGATAATAAGTTTTAAAGGTAATTAAGCATAAAAAAATTAATCATGTTGTAATAAAGTAGAAAAGTCAGGGGGTTGGGTTTAATTGGGGCATTCACTAAGGGTGGTCGGAGTCACCTGTCTTCAGCTCAAAAGGCTGCTGCTAACCTACAGCTTCTTAATGAGATAGTTTGATTATAATTTACTCAGTTTAGAAAACTTCAGACTGGTAAAGATTCAACTACAATTGGCATGAAGCTGTGGTGTGCTTAGCTCCGCAAATTTCAGAACATTGCCCATAGTAAATGCCTGGGTGGGCGGAAATAAAAGAGGTTTGATTTAGTCGCCCTGGGATAGCATCAGTTTTTACTCCGAGGGAAGGGACTGCTCAAGAGTGAAGAACGTCTTCTGCTGTAACTAGGACTCGCATTATAGATCCAATGGGGGTAATAAATACGGTTGTCGACTTCTAGTAGGCGGAAGTGGCCTGGGTCTAGGTCTTTTGAGGGGATTATGTATGAGTCAAAAATAATATTAGCGAAATCAGAGTACTCATAGCTTCAGTATCACTGATGGCCGATGGCTTTGATTGTTACATCAGGAACATTAATTTCGTCTATCAAATATAAAATGCGTAAAGAGGGTAATGCAATTATAATAAGAATTACTAGGGGGGAGAATTGTTCATACTAACTCAATTTCTTGGGCGTCTACAATTCGGGTATTATGAAGTTTGGTTGTTATTAAAGCTGTAATAATATATAAGACAACGGCACTGATTGTAAAGCGGCTATTAGAGCGTGGTCGTGAAAGTGGAGTAACTCTTCTATAATAGGGGAGGCTGCGTTTTGAAATCCTAATTGAGCGGAGTGGGCCATAGATGAGTGCAAGAGTTTAACTTGCGACTATGTCTTGACAAGACATTGTTATATATTAACTAACCCATCTAAGAAAGTGACAGAGTGGTCATGTGACTGGCTTGAAACCAGAGTATGGGGGTTCGATTCCTCCCTTTCTCGTGTAAGGTTTATTGAATAAATTGGTTCTTCAAAGGTGTGGTAGTGTGGGGGGGGGAGAGTTTAAGGCTCACTCAATATTTGTGTTAGTAAGCTCAGGCCCCGTAAATAAACGTTTGGAGGCAAAAGCCTCTCAGATTATATAGATCATTATAATTACAGCCACAAAAGAAATGGCGGAGCCGATTGAGGATACAGTGTTTCAGAGGGTGTAAGCATCTGGATAATCTGAGTATCGTCGTGGTATATGCCGGCCAAGCCTAAGAAGTGTTGTGTGTGTGAAAGAACGTTAAATTTACCCCTACGAATATAACAGCAAAATGGACTTTGGCTCATAATTGATGAAGAGTGAATCCTGTAAATAGGGGGAATCAGTGAACAAACCCTGCAAGAATGGCAAACACTGCCCCCATGGATAAGACGTAGTGGAAATGAGCTACTACATAATAAGTGTCATGTAAGACAATATCAATGGATGAGTTAGCTAGTACGATGCCGGTTAGCCCTCCGACGGTAAAAAGGAAAATAAACCCTAAGGCTCATAACATAGGGGCTTCTCATTTGATAGTCCCTCCATGCATTGTGGCTAGTCAGCTAAATACCTTAACTCCTGTAGGGATAGCAATAATTATTGTTGCTGATGTGAAGTAGGCTCGGGTGTCAACGTTTAAGTCGGTAGTGAATATGTGGTGGGCTCATACAATAAAACCTAGTAGGCCGATGGAAAGCATGGCTCATACTATCCCCATATAACCAAAGGGTTCTTTTTTATTTGAGTAGTATGCCACTACGTGTGAAATGATACCGAAACCGGGTAGAATCAAAATATAGACTTCCGGATGGCCGAAGAATCAGAATAAGTGTTGGTAGAGGACTGGGTCCCCTCCTCCCGCGGGGTCAAAAAAAGTTGTATTTAAATTTCGGTCTGTTAGGAGCATGGTGATTCCTGCAGCTAGTACTGGCAACGAAAGAAGTAGTAATACAGCGGTAATAAGAACAGATCAGACAAAAAGGGGTGTTTGGTATTGCGTAGTTGACGGAGGTTTTATATTAATAATTGTTGTAATAAAATTAATAGCCCCCAAGATGGATGAAACGCCGGCCAGATGAAGGGAAAAAATGGCAAGGTCTACTGATGCCCCTGCGTGGGCGAGGTTGCCCGCTAGTGGGGGGTAGACTGTTCAGCCCGTTCCTACTCCTGCTTCTACAAAAGGAAGAGGCTAATAGTAGAAAAAAAAAGAAGGGGGGAGGAGTCAAAAGCTCATATTGTTTATTCGGGGAAATGCCATGTCAGGGGCCCCGATCATTAAAGGAACTAGTCAGTTTCCGAAGCCCCCGATTAAAATGGGCATTACTATAAAAAAAAAATTATGACAAAAGCATGAGCGGTAACTACTACATTGTAGATTTGATCATCTCCGAGGAAAGTCCCGGGTTGGCTTAGTTCCGCCCGGATTAGTAGGCTGAGGGCAGTTCCGATTATACCGGCCCAAGCGCCAAAAATCAGGTACAAGGTTCCGATATCTTTATGGTTAGTCGAGAAGAATCAACGGGTAATTATCACAGGTAAAGTGGCCGAGCAGGTGGTGGGTTGTAGCCCCAAAGACAGAGGTTTGAGCCCTCTCTTTACCAGGCCCTGAAGTGTTAGCACATGAGGTTGCAAACCTCAAGAAGCAGGGTGAAACCTGCCGGGGCTTCTCCCGTTTTTACCAGACGGGAGAAGTAGAATGAAGCTCGCTGGATTGAGTGTTTAGCTGTTAACTAAAAAGTCGCGGGATCGAGGCCCGTCATTCTAGAGGGTTTTGTCTTAACTAAAAGAGCCTAAGTTTGCATTTAGGAGATGTAGGTTAATATCCTGCAAGCCCTGCAGAAACTGAAGGAAGTTAGTCTTCACTTAAGGCTTTGAAGGCCTTTGGTCTGTATTAGCCTAAGTTTCTAGATCAATGCTAATAGTGTGGAGGCGGTTGGTAGCAACATTAGAGCAGGGA